TTAGAGGTTATGTTCGACAGTTGCTGCATGGGTTGCTACTATTTTCCAAGTCTTTTCCAATCAAAAAAAATATTAACAGATTATAATTAAACACAGGTCTGAAAGACATCATGTTTAGGCTCCAAACGTACTGTATTATCAGGGTTAAGACAAAGAAAAATCTGGATATTCTTATATTCATTATGCTACTTACAGGCATTGCAGTATTTCACTAACATGATTATATTTTAAACAATAGCATATGGGAAGATCCTAGTACAAGTAAATAAAGCACTGATTACATTACAATTCTTATGAAAATTGTTTTGCTTCTTATGGAACTGCCTTAGCACCACATTTGTAATTGCTTTTTCCAATATATAAACAGTATTTTATTCTTATTTTTAAAGTTTTTTTATAACATGAGCCTTTTCTGGCAGTATGAAATGCATTCTTCATTCAGACAAATTACCTAAACAACATAACAGGAAAAAAACAACTTCATACTAGTTTTATAACTGGTTTATAATAGGTGTGTTAATGCAAAAAAGGTAATCAGGGAGTCCCATAGCCTCTGAGTCTCCCTATTGCAATGAAGTCCAACTTTTCTTCCATTGCTGTATTTTTCCTGATTAAATATACTTACAAACTGATTTCTTAGAAGGTTTTGTCTATCATTTAGATACCGGGCTATGAATTACAGCAGATATCAGCAAGCAATGAAGTTATGGAAGTATAAGAAGTAAAATACTGCTTAACTGAAGTGACGGGTTATGCACTCAGTGTTATGTCATTGTTTAAATTGTCCATAACTAGCATTTGTATACTGAGGTAGGTCTTGGTCAGCTGCTTTGTAAGGCTAAACTCTTTCTAGCAGTCTGAAAGATGCTGTGTGCACATCCATTTAAAAAATATCTAGCCACCTGTGGCATAGTGTAAAACAATTCCAGACTCAGGTTCCCTTCTCTGCAGAGAATTCAAGTATGTATTATGTATATTTGTGCATCAAAAGTATGTAAGATTTCTGCTGTGGAAAGAAAATACAGGTTTGTTAAAACTTGTCAAAAGAGCAATAAAAGCGATTATTTATTCTAGCATGTTTCTTTTCAGCTGTCATCTCCCTCTTCTCAGTGCTTTTCCATAAATTGACAGAGTTTTAGATTATATGTTACCTTGCGGGGAAAATCCAAGACATATGATACAGATACCATTAAAAGTCTTTACATTTTAAAATATTTAAAAATATGTTCTAAGATCAGACTGGATGTCAAAACAGTGTGTTCCTTCTACTGTATTAGCTGATTTCTTTAGAGGCATGAGTGTGCTGTACTAAAAAGAAAAAGAAAAGCAGCCAGTCTTGTGATCTGTAGTAGCTGTTCCAAAAGGGAGTACCACCCTCAGCATCATATGCTAGGTTGGCATTATATACATATATGTACTCCCATACAAGTAATGTTTTGGTGGTCAATCTTAAAGGGCAATGAGAAAAGGGAACAAGGTCTGACCAACAACATGGTATTTAATTTTTACATACAGGAGTTTATGCAAAATGTAATGTGTGCATTATGAAAGACGTGCAAAAATTTTAGTGTTATCCACAAGAGTTTTATGTTCTGACCAGTGGCATAACGTAATAAACAAGAGCTACCAAGGTTGGAAAGGAAATGCTCATGATAATCTGATGACAATAAAATTATCATCTTATCTCATTGGTTACTTGCATTTGCTGGTTGGTTGTTCAGCTGTTTTACATAGTTAGAGTACTCCTTTACCATTTGTCACTTTTATGACTTATTGTGAATATTGCTGCAGGGCAAAATAATCTTAAGAAAAAATTTGGGAGTTGAGAGGAAGGGGACTTCCTTTTCATGATGCAGGAAGGGTCTAAACTAAAGTTTACAGGGATGAGAACTTCAATCTATCCCACCCCTAACATTTTGATGCCAGTGCCAACAAGAAGTGCCCAGAATCTGGAGAATGTTCAGCAGGTTTAGATAAGGAAGTTCTAGCCAGGCACTGGAACAGATTGTACGGAGAAGCTGAGAATGCACCATCCCTGGAAGTTTTCAGGGCCAGGGTGGATGGGGGTCTAAAAAATCTGGTCTAGTGAGGAGTGTCTCTGCCCATGGCAGGGGAGTTAGAAATGGATGGTCTTTAATGTCCCTTACAACCCAAACCATTCTATGATTCTATGATTCTCTTACAATAAAGAGAGACAGGAAATACAAAATAGAAGTAAGACAGAAAGATGCACAGAAACACCTACTGTTGGTAGCTGGAGTAGGTTCAGGATGGAAGGGTTACAGATCTTTGGTCAAGGAGAGAGCTGTGCAAAGACTACAAGGCAACTAGGAAAAATTGGAAGTTAATATAATGGGAAAGAGTAAGATAAAGCTGCAGCTCAGAGAACAGCTTATTTATAGCACTTTATTGACAGGATGAGAATATTATTTTTAGCAGCATCTTTTGAATGCTCTTTAGAATTACATCAGTGTAAGAGTCCAAAACACAGTACAATGACCAAAGGATTTGTCATTTAAAAGAAAGGTTAATGTTTTAAACTCAAGACTTAGAAACATTTCATTGTTCAAAGTGTTTTGATATTTTTGTGCATCACAAGGAATGTAAATTGGTAAAATTAGGATTATCTGCATAAGAATATTTCAAAGTTATCTCTATAAAGAAATAAAAGGCTATTTGATTTGTCTTCTCTATTTCTTATATTAGAGTGTTGACTGGGAAAGCCCAATAATATTTATACAGAGAAGAATGTAATTAATTTCACCATAAGAATAAAAATTAACTACTTCTTTTCATTTTTGAAAGCTGTCTGCTGGCAATGCAGATATTTGACTATCTTTGTTACATTTTTTCCACTACTATTGACAAGCAAGCAGCAGGTCTGTTGGATGGAGTTTCAAAACTGCTTATGAACAGCAATCCACTTGCAGCATGGTACAATAACCTTGACCACAGGAGAGAGCTTAAAGCAGTTGAATGAATATGCTAAGTTACCCACCAATCTTTGTCTCCTTAGGACCAGAAAATACACCAGCCGTGTGCATTTATAGGAAAATCTCAACTAGTGGAATAAAATTTCTGATCAGAACAAAAAAGCTAGCCAATAAATGTCAGCTCCTAAATACCTCTAATCTGAAAAAGAATATTGTCATGTCTGTCCTTCCTGGGCTAAGGAAAGTAAACAAAGATGTCTTAGTAATTCTGCAATTCTGGATTTACCCACATTATCATCAGTATTCTTTGATGAAAGTCTAAGAACCTAGCAACATCTGGAACACATTCATAAACAAAAAGTTATTTTTAGAAGACACTTAATTGTTGTTCTTATGGAATTTGTTGCTTTAGCAATTCTTCTGTGATAAGCAGCATTGGATCAGTTATCTTGTCCTGAGGTTAGATGCTGTTGTGAGAAATCTGATTTAGTGGAAGATGCCCCTACTCATGGCAGGGGATTGCAATTTAAGGTGGTATTTAAGATCCCTGCCAACCCAAACTGCTTTATGATTCTAATTCTATTAACTTGTTAATATACATTTGACACAATGTGTACCCTGTTTTAAAAATATCTTATTTTAAATTATGTCTCATAAGGAAACAGCAGTGGAAACTATTTGTAAAAAGTATGAGAGGGAACAGGGACGATTTAGGGTGTATGAGACCCTGCAGATGTCAGCACTTCAGATGTTATAAACTGTGATTCCACGAACAGAAGTACTGATGAGTAAACTCTACAATGATAAGCATTTAACCAAGCCCAAGCATTTAAATGGGGTTTTTTTCAGCTTCTTTTACCATCCAACCTGCATTCTGAAATTCTGCATTCTTTTGGAGACTAGAATTTCAGAGCAATTAGAGTCCAGCAGAGATGCTGGAGAATTTGTCTATTCTTCAGACTAATCAAAAGGAAACACATAACAAGGATTTCTAGTATTTTAATTTCTTCCAGCACCTTTGTAATTAATTCCTGCTCTGAGGAAGATGTAGAAGATGGTAGCAATATGTAGCATATATAAAACCTAACCTGAGAAGTTAGTTCAACAAGAAATTAGATGGAAAAAGAATTCCATGTATCAAACAAAATAGAATATTAATAGTTCTGCCCAAAACTTGGGAATTACTTTTTCCTTCTGACAGATGTGTTGTACATGTTTGTCAAATGTTCCACAGGGTGTTTGGAAAGGAAATTATGTACAATGTGCTAAGATGTGAACAGTCAAAATGTTAAATATTTCAACTAATCTTTCTGTGAGAAAGTACACGTACGAAACATAAAAAAATATCACCCCAGTATTATTTTTTACTATGTCATTTTAATAAATGTAGCTAAACTGTAATGTACCTGTTCAAAATTATTGGGAGGGGGGAACACGGCAAAAAAAACCCAAAGCAACAAGTCAAGAACATTACAATGCTTTTGCTTTGAAAGGACATTGTCTTTCTAAATAAAAAATACACTGAAGTAGGAGGGAGTAAAACCAATCAAGATGGATGTCTTTAATGCTATACATCTCAGGTGGAAAGTGTTTGTTTTGTAAGCAACTTTCTTTACATTTAGCACATATTGCTCCCAGTGACCCCAGTGTTTAGTCCCCTGCAGGACTGTTCATATTCTAGATATATTCAGACAAACTGTATCTGTAGGTAGTTTTTTTCAATATTTAACATTAATTAATTTTTATTCTGAGGAAATAGTGGCATTTTCTCCTCCTATTCAGACTTATTTGCCTGCACGTTTATTGTTTTAGCTAGAGGTACCTTGTTTAATGTTTATATTAAGCTTCAGTTTAATATTTATATTAAGTGTGTCTGGTAAGAGATAACAAAGAGAGTAGGAAATCTATTCTCTCTAGATACATTTGCAAAACTGTGCATATAATTTCTATTCAGTGAAAAAGGATAAAATCTGTATACTACTGTAAATCTAGAAGGTTAACTGTTTTTGGTGTGGTCAATTATGTAGCTCATAAAACATCTCTCTTTTGTATTTTTTTGTATTACAGGTAGCATAGTGTACCTTGGGATGATGGTGGGGGCGTTCTTCTGGGGCGGCTTGGCAGACAAGGTGGGAAGGAGACAATCACTCCTGATATGCATGTCTGTCAATGGATTCTTTGCCTTCCTTTCATCCTTTGTCCAGGGCTATGGCTTCTTCCTCTTCTGTCGCTTGTTTTCTGGATTTGGGTAAGCTCCTCTGGTTTTGTTCATTTTCACAATTCTGTGTGTTAATAAAACATTTCTGTTTGCAAAAGCACATTTTTTAGTGTAGAAATACACTAATAGTGTAGAAATGCACTCTATGTCAGAGGTGAGAGAATTAAGCAAGGCAGCTACTACACTCCTAAATAACCTGAAGGGGAAAAATAATTTTGGGGGAAAGAAACAGACTGAAAACTGTGAAACTGAGTTTGTTACATTGCAAAGGATTTGTTTTGTGAACTTAATCAACCTGTTTAACTCTTCTATGCCTTGTCTTCTTTATGTATTTTGTTCGGTCAGCAAAATAACACTCTCCTCACAGTGTATGCTAAATACACAGAGGTGTATTTTGGTAATATTTATTAAGTTTCTAATGTCTCTGTGTGCACAATATTGTTTATAATACCATTGCATCAAGATAGTCAACTTTAAAATGGGGTCCTAAACTGTGCCAGATTCACAGAATTCACAGAATCACCAGGTTGGAAGAGACCTTCAAGATCATCGAGTCCAACCCAACCCTAACACCTCAACTAAACCGTGGCACCAAGTGCCACATCCAATCTTTTTTTAAACACATCCAGGGATTGTGACTCCACCACCTCCCTAGGCAGATCATTGCAATACTTTATCACCCTTTCTGTAAGAAACTTTTTCCTAATATCCAGCCTATATTTCCCTTGGTGCAGCTTGAGACTGTGTCCTCTCGTTCTGTCAGTTGCTGCCTGGAGAAAGAGACAGCCCCACCTGACTACAAACACCTTTCAGGAAGTTGTAGGGAGTGATAATAGATAGACCCCTCCTCCAAGTCTACTTTTCTCCAGGCTAAACAGCCCCAGCTCCCTCAGCCGTTCCTCACAGGGTTTGTGTTCCCAGCCCCTCACCAGCCTCGTTGCCTCCTCTGGATGTGCTCAAGTGTCTCAATGTCCTTCCTGAACTGAGAGCCCAGAACTGGACACAGAACTCCAGGTGTGGCCTCACCAGTGCC